ACTCAACTTTTATTAATTTTTTATTTAAACACACCCAAAAACACCCATCAAAATGTCTTCCTATAGACACCCTCTCTCCAAAAATATCCACTATCTTCTCTATTTACTCAAATTTTATTAATTTTATATTTCAATACACTTCATTATTTCAACCAAAAACACTCTCTTTCTTCCTTTTATTCAAATTTTAATAATTTTATATTTAAAGACACACAAAATAGAAATGATCTACGACCAACACTTTTCTGTTGATGAGATTTAGGCGTAATGTAGCGTGGGGCCGACGCTATAACTATTTGATGGATACGTACGTTTTGATAAGTTTTCTGACTTAATTAGCCTTTTCTTTAAGCTAAATTCCAACTTATAAATATGTCTTAAACTGATACATTTTGTCTATCATAGTATATACATTAAGAAGCAGTTTTTTTTTGCCTCTCGGAAACCCATAGCTCTTCTATTTTCTTCTCGATGGCTCTACCTTTGTATAATCTAGAAGATGATTTCGAGATCAAACTAAACATGAATAATCAGATGAAAGACTTGAATGACATTAAGGAGACAATGAAAGGATTGGCCTTCAACGGATCGAAGCAAAGGTGGATTTGTTGGCGAGAAAGGCAGATCAACATACGATTTCGATCTCAGACAAGGGTAAGAATCCTTTTGACTACAACAATCCTTTCAAAACTGCTTTTAACAGTGCAGATGCTAAATACGGTTATGAGATGCGACCAGAATTTGCTACCCCTTTCCCATCTTCATATAGTCGTGTTGCATACACTCCTCCACAAAGCAGAGTATTTGGTGGTAATGATGATCAAACTATCATCGTTAAAGGATTTGACTCTTCGTTTCCTGTGTATTATATCAAGAGCGAATTGAGTAAATATTTCAGCTCATGTGGAGAGATTACAAGCGTTGTTATTCCAACAGACCAAGTCTCCGGTGCGGTCATAGGATGTGCTTTCATTCAGCTAAAAGGAAGGAGTAGAGAAGGCTTTAAAACTTAGTGGAAGTTACTTGGGAGGATGGAATCTTGTAGTTGAGAAGGCTACACCTATAAGAGATTTTGGTCGTTCAGGCAGAGAAGGTCAATGGCCTTATCCCTACTATACCCGTTGTGACGGTCTCGGCCATAGTGTACCGTCTGTTGAGGTTTTGGTGGCAGAAGAAGAGATGGTTCTATAGGACAGAAGACTCATCGAGTTTTTTTTTTTAACTTTTGATACCATGCAACATTTAGTTATCGGTGTTTTTTTGTTTTTCCTTCTTTTGTTAAGTTTTTGTGAGAATTTTAAGGTTCTCCTTATGTTCTCTAGTTAAGTTTATGTGATATATATTATATTGTTATAAAGTAAGCTTCATTTTGAGTGCTTTTGGTGTTACAGAAAAATAAAATTTGTTTCTTATGGAACTAACCAGACCTTCAATTTCGGTAAGTCCCAAATAACGCAATTTCATAACTTTCTCTCAAGTAGAAATAGCAATATCATAGAACCTAAAGATGCCTTCTTAGAAACAAGAATTGTTGTTTCGGACAAAACCACAAACAAATCATTTCAACACTTAGATTCAATTCAGTTTTTTTTTGTGTTTTACTTACAAACGCCTTATAACACAGACAACGAGCTAACGCTCTTTGTACTTTTCACATCTCTTTTGTGATTGATATGATCCTAGTACAGATCAACGCCCCACGAACACTTCYAATGGTT